GCAAAAGGAATAAGAATGGTTACAGGTTACAGGCAATGTGGGTGGGCCTCCAATGTTTGGACAAGATTGTTAATCTGTCCAAGAAAATGGACTACATTCCAAGGTTGACTCCCAGGTCCCGGGGGCATACAACTCCCAGCCAGGTTAGAATGTGTTTTCTTTAATCAGAACAAAACAATCAAGGTTAACAGAGCCATGATTAATACTTCTTATAACCATAACTAGTCCCCAATATTCTATTTCTGCCCCTAACATAACCAACTAAGCTACCCAGCCAGGGCAACAGTCTTCTTAATTTTAGTCATTTAAATAGGTGTGTAGTAAAAAAAAAAAGTAGTGGTATCTCATTGTGGCTTTAATTTGCATTTTCCTGATGACCTATGAAGTTGAACATCTTTTCATAACATGGTCTTTTGAAGAACAGAAGTTTGTTTTTTTATAAAGTTCCATTGGTTGAATTTTTCCCCTGACATTTTGTGCTGTACTTGAGAAATCTGCCAAAGCTAAGATCACCAAGATTTTTCCTTTATGATTTATTCTTTATAGATTTTATAGATTTTATAGCTCTTTCTTTGAGGTCCATAATCCCTTTCGGGGCTGAGTATTGAAAGATGACTAGCTTGGCAAATGGGTGAGAGGGCGTTCTAGGCAGGAGGACCAGGACAGAGGGCAGGGTGTGCCAGGCTAAAGAGTTGTTCTTTCTCCCAAGGGCAATGGGAGCTGTTAGGAGCAGAAACCAAACACTGGGGACTAGCTATGGCTATAGCTATAAGAAGTATTAATCATGCTCTGTTAACCTTGATTGTTCGATTCTGATTAAAGAAAGCACAGTCTAACCTGGCCAGGAGTTGTGCACCCCCGGGACCTGGGAGTCAACCTTGGAATGCTGCCCATTCTCATTCGAGAACTACCTGTTATATGGAAAGATGAACGACCTTGTTGTCCAAGCAATGAAGTCCAACCCCCAGCCCACATGGCCTACTTCCCCACGTAATGTTTGTCCTGCCCAGTATAAGCAGCTGGTTTGTGAGGGTGCAGAACAGGCTTCCGTGGATGACCTGCTGCTCTCCCATGCTGCCGGAATTATTGGAATAAACACTCACATGTATGATTCAACCCTGTCTCTGTTTAATTGGCTCAAGTAGCGACAGGCAGCCCGGACCCAGTGGTTGTCCGGCTTCGGAGCTACGAAAGGCCGTGGACCAGAGCAGCGGTGCAGTCGCCTCAGTTGTCTTATCAGCGAAGTTGGGGACAAGAGGAGGAGTGAAGGAGATAAAGAATGGATGGAAAGGTGTTCCGTCAGCCAGCTGGGCTTCTCCTGCCCTTTTTCGGCCCCCAGCCCTCCCAGGGGGCTCCCGATCAGCACCCAGTGTGGATGGAAAGGGGCCTCTGACTAGCTCAGAGACGTGTGCCTGGCCACCTGGCAAGCTAGAGACCTAAAGTAACCACAAAGGATGGTCTGAAATGAAAGCTTTTTTCCTAACTGAAAGCAGTTTAGGGTGGGTAGTCATGTCCTAAGGCAGGATTTTTCCCTAAGAAAGGTTCATCTTCACCTAAACTAAGCCTAAAATGACATGCCTAATACGCCTTTGCAAAAACAAAGTAATTTCCCACCCCCACCCCCTCAAAGCACAGGCTCGCTAGACCATAAACCCCCTCATTGTTGAGTTAGTTGTTGACTGTTAACTATACTGCACCCATCTAAGTAAAAGAAGTATGTCTATCACTTTACTTTTTATCCAATTCCGAGGTCCCCACCCCCAACACACTTTGCTAATCTATCACCAATAGATTTCACGTAACCCACCATGTCTCCTCCTTTGATTGCCATTCTCTGGAGCAATCCGTTGAGATTCTGCTTCCCGGCAATTGTCATTTCATGTTTTGCTCAAAAAAACTAAAAAAAAAAAAAAAATCTTAAAAAAAAATGGACCCAGGGGAGGCCAGGGGAATGCCAAGCAGGGGAAAAAGAAGGAGACATATGTAATACTCTTTGTAATACTTTAAGCAATAAAAAAAAAAAAAAAAAAGTCAATGGACCTCAGGGGAGGAGTAACAAAAAGAGAGAGAGAGAGAGAGAGAGAGAGAGAGAGAGAGAGATTGTCCCTGTTGGATGAAAAATTCATGCAGTCACATAGTTCCATTGCTCATTGTTTATTTAGAGCGGTGCTTTACAATAAACATATACGGAGCCAAAAAAAAAAATATGGACCACTTCACGGATTTGTGTGTCATCCTTGTGCAGGGGCCATGCTAATTGTCTCTGTATCGTTCCAATTTCAGTATATGTGCTGCCGAAGTGAGCACTCAAAACATTCTTCACAGGTTTGAATGTTTCCTCCGTTAACGCCAGTATTAAATGTTAGTCAACCTTCCCTGGCTTCTTTCGGGAGCTCTTGCATGAGGAATGCTCACCTTCTGTCTGTCACACGTGTAGCAAACATTTCCCCGTCTGTGGTGGGGTTTCAACCCTGCTGACAACCCAGGCAGCTCCACTGTCCAGTCTGGGGGTGTTTTCTAATAGGGCTTGTCACTCCATTTAGGCTGCCCATGGCCACCAGGTCCCTGCCTGCGGGGTCCGAGGCATGTCCTCTGGGGTCTGTGTGGGCTCAGGGAAGCCCGTGTGACCTCATTTATCAGGGGTGCTCAGGAGGGGGTCTCTCCATTTTCCCGGGACACCATCCAGCTGAAACAAGAGACTCCCCTTTAGCTGGGGTCTCGCCTCTGCTTTTCACTTTTAGAAGCTCCCGAGCCACAGTCTGGCCCCTCCCTGCAGCCCAAACCGCTTCTCTTTTTTCCAGGCTGCAGGCGGTGCCCGGGAGTGCTGAGTCGAGATTTCCTCATTCGCCACGTGCAGCAGCATTTCTGCTGTGTCACGGTTGGGAGGGGGGACTTGCGGAGACAGGCGGATTTTGCTGAGTCACTGGCTGCCTCCTCAGCCTCCCTCTGGTGGGTGAAAGGGCAGCTTTCCAGGCAGGCAGGAGGAAGTGAAACTTCTAGAAAAGGACAAAAGATTCCTGTTTACCACCTTGTTTGCCAAGCCCCTGTCCATCCATCTCAGCATTTATTTGTCTGACACTGAGCTGCTGAGCTTCCCCCCATCGCAGTAAACTGGCAAGTCTGTCTTCCCAGCCGGTTGACCCCCAAACTCTGGCGTTGTCCTGGAGTGCAATTCTCTCTCACATCCCCCTCCCTATTCGCAAATTCTTGCCGCCTCTGCCTTTAGCATAGGGCTATCCTAGGTCACTTCTCAGCCCATCCTGTCCAAGCCTCCATCAATCTCCCCCCGGATTACTGCAGTCGGTAGCCTCCTGCCCAGGGCCTTCTTCAGCCCCGTCTCACCACGGTCGCCAGGAAAACTGGAGCGATAGCCCATCACTCCTCTTAGCCCTGCAGTCTCCCTCACTCACAGAAGGCCCTTGCCCCGGCCTGCAGGCCCTGCGGGCTCGGTCCCGGTCTCTCCCTGTTCTCATCTCCCACCTGCCCTCTCCTCTCTGCTCCAGCCACGCTGACCTCCAGCTGCTGCCACCTTGGTCCCACCTTGGGGCCTGCCCTGCCTTGACTCCGATGTAACACTGCAAACACTGAGTCCTCTCACTCGCCATCTCTCTGCCGGCCACTGCCAGGGAAAGTTCTGTACTCACAGGAGGGCATGAGATAGCCTGGGCCCACCCAGAAAGTCCAGGATGCCCTCCCTGTTCTAAAACCTGTAACCTTGAATTCATCTGCAGCGTCTGTTAACGTATTCAGTGTTAATGTAATTCAGTCTCTGGAGGTCAGAGTCCTAGGCTGGCAGGGCTGCATCCCCCCTGGAGTTCTAAGGAGAATCCACTTGCTCCCCGTTTTCTGGCTTCTGGGGCTGCCTGCTTTCTGGGCTGGTGGCCCCTAACTCCACCTTCAAAGCCAGCAGGGAGCATCCCCTAGCCTCTCTCCCTGTCCTCCGCTTCTCTTGTCACACCCCTGTCTGTGTTGGGTAACCCTGCAGCCCCCGGGCTCTTACCAGGACTTTGGGATTGCATTGGGCTCACTTGGATAATCCAGGATAATCTCGCATTACAAGGTCGTTAATTTACTCACATCTGCAAAATCCCCTTTGCCCTGGGAAGTAACACATTCGCAGGTTCTGGGATTAGGATGTGGAATGGGGGGCGGGGGGCTTGTTTGGCAGATCGCAGGAGGAGAAGAGCGTCTGAATCATTCCTGGGCTTGAGGAGCGGGAAGGGGAAGTCAGGAAGCTGAATAAGCAGGGGGGGAGGGCTGCGAGCTCCGCAGCGGGACAGAGGACGGAACCAGCCGCGCTGCCCTGGCC